TCTCTCTCTCTCTCTCTCTCTCTCTCTCTCTCTCTCTCTCTCTCTCTCTCTCTCTCTCTCTCTCTCTCTCTCTCTCTCTCTCTCTCTCTCTCTCTCTCACACACACACACACACACTATAAATCTTGAATTTGTACATTTGTACAAATTTTAGTTTCTTTAACTATTTAGTTACATTAGAGATCCGAACTTGTGTGAGTGACGATAGCTTGGCTCTTCCGGAAGCTACATTACGCCCTGTCCAGTCAGCAACCGATGTAATAAACCTAATGCGCCTCGGTGAAATAAACCGCGCAGTTGGCTCCACTGCCATTAACATTACAAGCAGCCGATCACACAGGTTATTATTTTATTTCATTTTCTTTTTCCGATTATTTATTTATTACATATTGTGTCCTAACACTAACCCCCGGTTCCTTCAGCATATTGTCTGTCCACGTGCATGGCGAAGATTCTTCCGGAAGCAAACTCCGAAGCTGCCTCCACTTGGTCGATCTAGCTGGCAGCGAACGGGTCGACAAGTCGGAAGTCACAGGCGATGGGCTGAGAGAAGCACAGCACATAAACAAATCGCTCGCCTGTCTGATAGATGTTATGACAGCCCTGTCGCAGAAGCAATCCCATATTCCGTACCGCAACAGCAAGCTCACCTTACTTCTGCAGAACTCTTTAGGTATGTTATTTTGTACTATAAATCGATGTCGCATGCAATAATATTTTTTTCGAATACGTACTAATTTATTTGTTTCTTTTCTTTCGAGCAGGAGGAAATGCGAAAACGCTGATGTTTGCTCATGTGAATCCCGAGGGAGATTCTTTTGGAGAAACGATGAGTACGTTGAAATTCGCGCAGAGGGTTTCGACTGTAGAATTAGGGGCTGCTCGTGCGAATAAAGAGAGCAATGAGGTTTTAGAGCTTAAAGCAGAGGTACAAGTAGTTCCTATTAATTTCAGTTTATTGCATTTAGTACCCCTTGTGTTATATCGGATTGCTATAAAACACCCCTATAATGCATTTTTTTAGCACACAACCCCCTATATAGTGAGTTTTTTTAGGGGTTATTTTGCTAATAAAATAACATGAGGGTTTTTTTGACAATTAGGAAAGATACAGGGGTGGCTGAGTGCAATAAACCCCTATTTATTAGCATGATTAGGGCTGGGACTGGGTTGGTTTTTATCCACCAACCGACCCATTACTGACCATATTTTTAGGCGGATAATCAATTTTTAACCGACCCATTGGACTGGGTCGAAAATTTCAACCAACCCATTTATAATGGGTCGGTTGGTGGTTTCTAATATTATCACAAGTTGGTTGACCGATAATTATCGGTCATCCAACTATATTATTAAAATTATATTAAAAATATAAAATAAAGGCCATGTTTTCTTAAGTGGTTATGAAATTATCAAAATAAATAGTATTTTAAATTTTAAAAACAATCAACAAAAGAAAAAAAATTGACCTAAATCTTCCACCAGTTTTTTTATGCCCAAGTTTAAACAAAAAGCCCACAAACTCCACTAAAACTCTTCTGTATATTTGAAACTACTTTGAATTTTCTGATTCTATTTTTCGTTAAAGTGTTATTAATTATTTTGAACTGATAAATGATGATTCCACCGTGGCATTATGCAGAATGCAGATATTTTTACTCCAAAATTTGATTTTTTTAAGTGGACTAGGTTGCGGGTATAAACCATCAACCGACCCATTCCGAAACCAAATATTCGGTTGTCAACCATCAACCGACCCACAAAGGTTGGGTCGGCAACGGTTTTCAAATTTTAGCAAAAATGGTTTGACGGATTGGTCGGTTTTTAGGCTGGTAATCGACCGACCCAACCCAGTCCCAGCCCTAAGCATGATTGATAACTTTTGCTTCAAACATTTTTTGTTACAGATAGAGAGCCTCAAAAAGGCATTGGTAAACAACAAGGAAATAATCCAAAGTCCAACGACGAAAAAAACGGCTGAGAAAACACCCCCACGCACCAGAAGATTGAGCATCGAAAACGGCAACCGGGGGGCCAAAACCCCTTCCGGAAAACCTAAACCTTTGATCACCGAGCGAACCCCTCCACCACGTGCTAGAAGGTTGAGCATCGAAAACGGCGCCTGCATGGAGAAGAAGGGGGCCAAAACCCCTTCCGAAAAACCTAAACCGTTAATCCCCGAGCGAACCCCTCCACCACGGTCTAGAAGGTTGAGCATCGAAAACGGCAACAATGCCTGCATGGAGAAGAAGGGGGCCAAGACCCCCCCGACTCACTCTCGGAGATTAAGTCTAGAAGGGGGCCAAGACCCCCCAAACTCTTTACTGGACCAATCAAATCGAAGAGCTCCTCCTCGTAGTCCGATAAATTCCACTCTAAAAAGTCCAGTGGTAAGAATTGATGATTCAGCAGTAAAGAAAGTTCCATCTTTTTCGGAACTTTCTAATCAAAGAGGTCCTAAAAGTCCGATAAATTCTGCTCCAAAAAGTCCGTTGGTAAAAATTATCGACACGGCGTTGATTCAAATTCCGAAAACGCCCGATCCACAAATAAGATTGAGGAACGAGATTCAAAGAGCGGGGCCACTAATAGAAATCGAGACCCCTTTGTCGAATCATGTAAAAGGAACTTCTCACATTCGAAAATCTCTTCGAACTATAGGCAAACTGATTAATGGATCGGAGAAGAGGTAAAACCGAATTTCTTCTTACCCTTGTTTTAGCTGTGTAATAAGTTATTAATGTTGGCTTTGATTTTATTTGAATTTTTTATTATTGGAAATAATAGGAAACAAATCGAAGCGACGACACCTTTGAATGGAAACATTGTGCATGATCCAAAGTCACCGATTTCAACTAATGCAAGGGCTTTGAGGAGGCAGTCGATAACCGGCGGCATGCAGCTTCCGGAAAGGTCTAGAAGATCTTCGCTTGGAGGGGTTCCGACCGACGCTTGTGAGTAAAAATTAGGATGACGTGTGAAATTACCATTTTGACCTTGGTCTTCGATTACGGTTTAAATGTTGATATTTTTTTTATTTCTTTTTATGTGCAGATGGAAATGAAAATAGGAATACGAAGACACCACCAACTGATCAAGTTCGTGTTTCTTCGACAAAATTTGCGAAACGTTGGCTTTAGAATCACTCGTTGGGCGTAACCATAGTAGGTTTTTTGCTTTGACTCGAAGCATATTAGTGAAAATTGACATTTGTTTTTAGACAATTTTTTATTAATGGAAATTTTAAGGTTAATCCTTGTTGACACTTTTTTACTAATAAGAACTTCATGAAATAAATAAATAAATAAATAAATAAATAAATAATAAATAAAAATTATGTCTCCTCAGAAGAGATTGGTTGAAAATTGAAATGATCTTACAACAATAAGCATCTTTTACTAAAAACATGTGTCCTGACAAGTCATCACCACCAATAGATTCACACTATTAATTCTTTATTCTTCAAATTATTTCTTTCAACCTCTATCCATATGACAATTGGATCCCACTATTTTTTAAATAATTAACTCAAGTAAAATAATATAAATATATATATCTTTTTCAAATATTTTAGGAGAATGGCTATAATTGGAAAGTATAACATGTTTTTTGGTTGGAGGGAGTAAAAGAGCTTATTTTCATAGTTTAAGGGGCCAAAGTATTACATTTATATAGCTAAAGGATCAAATTGAAAATGCAGCCTAAATTGAAAATACAGAAGCTAAGAAAAGTTTCCTCAATTTCACATCTCTAAAGATAATTCAATATTTACCAAAAATCCAGCTCATTATTACCATTATTAATAATATTATTATTATTATTATTATTTGAACTCATATAAATAACAAAGAATAAAAGAATAAGCTTACAATAATTCTAAACATTTAATAATGTACAAAAGTTAAAAAATACACTAGCTCTTTTTTTTTTTTTACAACAAACAATACAAAAAAAACTCAGTAAAGATGCGAATTAGTAACCGCAACTTTCGACCGTAAACGCCCGTTCTTCTTCGCCACGGAGTAGTAATACCCACGAAGCAACTTCTTCCGGAACCTTCCGAGATCGAGCCTCACATTCTGCCCGTCGAGATAGATTCTCTTCGTGTACTCCCACCCCTTTCTGTTCACACTATCGGGGTCCACCAAAACGGGGTCGTTTCTGCTATAACGCTCGTACAACGAGCTCTCCCTTGGAAGTATCTTGTAGCCGACGTACCTCAAACCGAATCTTACAGCCGGGTCGCCGTAGTAGGTCTCCGCTGCCCAATCGGTGCCAAGTGGCACTACTTGAATGAAAAACGAACCAGGTTTCATGAATAGGAAATGGGTCATGGCGGCTCCGTGGACCCCAATAACAACGTCACTCGAGTTCAAGACTCGGTAGATTTTCGCCAGCTCGGTTGTTCTTTGAGGCCTCAACACTTCAACGACGAAACCGATATTTTCGGCCATCTTTACCAACGAATCCTCGTTGGTGATTTCCCTCGACCCGTTTCTCGATACTATAACGAGTTTCGGTTTACGTAAATCTTGAATCATTTTTGGTATCTCTACTATTTCTTCACGTTTTTCGTCTTCGATGAGGCCGCTAATGCGAGGCCAATAAGCTCGATCAAGAAGATCGTGAAAATCTCCTATGGTCTTATTGCCTTCCATCAAAGAAGAATCGATTGTGAGTTCGTTGTGGATTTTTAAACCGATAGTCGCTTCAGGGAAGCAATGGACTCTTTTGTCGTTGTTGAAATCTATAGGCGGGAAATCGGAGAGTTGAGAGAGTATGTCGCCGTACTTTGTGATCCACCAATCATGGTACTCAAGAATGACGAAAACGACCTTCTTGTTCAAATGCTGGGAGGTGATGTACAGGGGCAAAATCCCGTCGTTGAATTCGTGGTAAAGATTACCGGTATACCCTCCGGTGGAGAAGAAAACCGCCGGTACGTCGTGGTGGACGTCGCATTTGTGGTGGGGTGTGGAGTGTCGTTTTACGGTGAGGTGCAATTCGTCGACTGTTTCCATCATTTGCTTCTCCCATTTACGAGTGTAGGGCCGGATTCTTTCGTGGTGGATTGCCGCCTCGTCTCCACCGTCGGATATGCCGGAAGGTTGATCGGATTGGTAGAGGGTGATGGAGGAGGAGGTGGAGTGGGTTCTTATGTCACCTCTCATTATACATATGTCTGATCTTGTGCTGCTTCTGTCACAACAAATAGTTCCTGCAAATTAAGATTATCAGAAACATTAGTAATCAAGATTGTTGTAATAATATTAAAAAAATTAAGTTCAGATTATGATGATGTAATCCTGATTAACAATATTAATTATCAACTCTTAATGGTGTGATTTAGAGATACTCCCTACCCCACCCCCTACCCCCACCCCCCAAACCCCACCTTTGCCAACACATTCAAATCCATAAACAAAAACACAATAAAAATTGGATCTTTTTCAGCTATTCTGAATCAATTTCAAAAAATTAAAATTAAAAATCGGATCTTTCTCTATTTTTTTTCATCATATTTTTAACATAAATTTGAAGAACACACACACACACACACACACTAACCGTTAGGAACAGAGGAGCAAACATCAGTTTCAGGACCAAGCCCTTCTCTATTGGGCCCAAACGAATCTGCAGCAAAACAAGAAAAAAAAAACAAAAACAAACCTCCATAAATAAACTAAGAAGAAAGGACAAATATTATATATATATATATATATATATATATATATATATATATATATATATATATATGTGTGTGTGTATGTATTTATATATAATCCGAGAAAAGAAAACTTACGAAGAAGGAAATTGGAGTCGCAGGACAAGAAGAGGGGAGCTAGAATCAAGCTGCAAGAAACAAGAGAGAGAAACACGAAGCACAAGAACTTAGGGTTGGCTCCTCTTCTGTTGAAGTAGCCGTTGTTTCCGCAGATTAACCCGAACCGGGTCGGGCCGGGCTCTTCGTCTTCATCAACCATGTACTCTTTGCTCTTCTTGAACTGGGTGTACATGTTTTTCCTCTGGTACTTCACCATTTTTTTCTTCTTCTTCTTTGCTTCACAGAAACTTTACAACCAGAAAATGAATATGGGGTATGTGTACAGATTGTAAAGGAGATAGCTTTATATTCTAGAGAGAGAAAGAGATATAGAGAGAGAGAGAGAGAATATGGGGTGTGTCTGGTTTTTGGTAAAGGGAGGTGCTTTGTGCCTTCTGGGGTGGCTCTGTTTATTCTTGGGATGGGAGAGAGAGAGAGAGAGAGAGAGAATCTATTGATGTTGAAAAGGAGCTGTAATAAGAAAGTGGTTTTAAAAAAGATTAAGACAATTAATTAACGTTTGTTCATATTTTAGGAAAGTAGGGTATGGACTTGTGGAAATTATCAATAACTTTAAATTTGTTTCATAGAGCTAGACTGTATTTTTTGAATTCTAATTAGAAATATTAGGTGTTTGAAAGGGTGCAAAATTTCTGACAGCTTCGATGATCATCTAGTTTCCATCAATTGAATCGATTGGCTGGCTAACGACGATCTTGTTCAAAATGTTGATTGAAACGTCGTGAACAGCGTCAAATGTAGCACAATATTGATTTATAGTGAGTTTTTTTTTTAGCGATATGAAAAACAAGATTGGTTTGAAAAAATGTACATTCACATATATTTAACAGTGATTTAGTGGCATTTTTCGTCTCGGTTAAACCGAACGGAAGATGGATAAACATCAAAAAAAAGACTGCAAAGAAAAATAATTTATAGTTTTTTCATAAAACTACGAGAAATAAGAAGAAACGCCACTAATAAGATTGCAATGAACAAAATCTAAACGAGTATTGATTAACGGCGTTTTCTGTATCTATAGAACCGAACAAAATTTGGAGAACACACTAAAGAAAACAACAGTATAACTCTGATACCATATTACAATAATTATAAAATATCATGATAATTTGATTATTTTCTAACAATAATAATGATTAGATAAGTAAAATGAAGAGAAATAAAGAATTATAAATTAAGCGTGTATTTTGACTATGGTTGACTGTCAATTGTAAAGATACAGAGAATTCAAATCACAATCAAAGAGTGTGTTCAACGCGCCAGTTGCATGCAACAGCTAATATCTTCGAGGCATTTGTTTTGGACCATTATTGAATTATTAGAAATTAGATAAGGATAAAAGTATTATCCTTTTTTTGTGATAAAAGACAATAATTTGAACTTGCGTGGCTCAATTGAACTAGTCAAAAGTTGTTACACACGCCTCCCCTAAGTTGCATTTATTACATTTTCGACCTCATTTTTATTTCTTTCATTTCTTTTTGGGTGCTCAATTAAATCTTTCAATAGTTATGCAAACTGGAAATTTGTAGTTAGATTCTTTAAGTGGAATAAACTTTGAATATCATATTCATTTTCATATAATATGAGAAGGTGGAAAGATCTTCGAACTGTAGAATTATTCGAGAGTATGAAGGGTTGATTCGGGAGAGCAATCTCTCGAGAAATTCATGTCAAGTAATGTACCGCGTGCAAATTAACTTGATGATTGTGTTTGTCCTTCAAATTAGAAACAAAAGGTCGAATTCAAGAAAATTCGTAAACTCTACTTTCAGATAACTCTGGAAATTGTTTATCATTAATTTAATTACTATCAATTTAATTCCTTAGTAGGAACCTTAGTTAGGCCAACTAGGATGGGATTAATTAAAGACATTAATCTTCTTTATTGAATAGTTAAAAGTCTCCAATGAAACCTAATAATATTGTCTGCATCGAGCTTGTCACACGTGGTTTACATCTCTCGTATAAGTTATAAATTATTACACGAAATCGAAAATTTGTCAAATACATTTATTTAGTTGGCTGTGGATTTATTAGTTATAAAAGAAAACTAAGTAGAGCCATGGTGCATGGAAAAGATAAAATTATTATTACAAGATGGTGAAAATACCGAAGTAATTGTCTTAAACAAATCTTAATAAGGCGATGATCTCGATTCAAGATAATGATAGTTATTGATTTCTTTAATAAATAAATAATAAAAGCAAAGAAAAAAAGAGTAACACTGTAAAAAGTAGTTTTAGCAGTCCAAGAAACCACTAATGCAAACCAGGGGATAATGGAATATATTCCTTTTTATTACTTAGTATATGGATTAAATTATATTTATTATATTTTTCATAATTATAGGGATTAAAATATATATATTCATAAACTTTTTTTTTTAATAAAAGCAAAAAAGTAAATACATTTTCATAATTACACGTTTGAACTAAGATCAATGGACTTATAAAAAAAATAAAAAAATAAAAGCCAAAATTGGCGGCGGCATTTACAGTTCAAATCTTAATTCATTCTCACACGCTAAAAGGTTATGGAGTTCTCAAGTTTTCTTTGCCTTTGGGACAAGGGCTAAATTGTAAATTTAAATAGAAAATTTGTTTACACGATTTAAGAATTTGAATGATTTAGCATAACAAAAAATTTCAATGAAGTACAAGAAAAATCATTTTGTTTTCAATTTCTTTTACGGGCTGCCCCTGAGATAAAGTTTAAATTACGAAAAAACTCATCATGCTTGGATAATTACAACTGTCTCCTCAACTATGTATTATCTTATAGATAAACCCCTTTTAATAGATAAATTTAACGCCATAAAGTTGTATGTGTAAGATAGTACATAGTTGAGGCAAACTTGTAATTAACCAAATATAAGGGATTTTTTTATAATTAAATTTATTTAATGGCGTGACCGTAATTTACCATTCTTAAGTTTTAAGTCATATATAGCAGCACTATTTATCTACGTACTAATTAGTGAAATAAGTAAAACCCAATTGGCACAAAATATGAATATAATAAAAATTGGTCAAACTTAATAAATGCGAGGAGTTTAAGGTCAAAACTTAGGACTTGTAACGTATTTAATTCATGTTTGAGTTTTCTCAATATCATGAAAATTAATTAATTACATGAGGGAATGCAATATATATAATTTAAATACAATAAGTTAATGAAAATTTCATTAATTATTTATTACATATTAATTAAAAATAATATAGGGACAATAACAAGTGGGATCATGAGGAGCAAAATTCTATCAACAAACGCTGCTAAAGCTGAAATATACATTTTATTATGAATATGACTTTTTTTTATATAAATATTATTAATTCAGAAATCGCATTTAAATTCATAATAATAAAAAGGGGAAACTACAGATAAATCCCTAATCCAAAACTCAACACACAGATCAGTCCCTAGGTAGTTTCCCCAAGCAATTCAGTCCCTATTCACGCGTCTGACATGCAGTTCAGTCCCTAATGTGAATTTTATATATTTTATTATATTCTCTCTCTTCTTTTTCACTCTCACCCTTTTCTCTCTCTTCTTTTTCTCTCTCTTCATCTTCTCTTTCTTTCTTCTCTTTCTTCTCTGTTTCTACTGCTCTCTTTCTTCTCTATTTCTTCTCTCTTTCTCTCCTCTGGTTTCCTCTTTTTCCGACGAAAAAATCACTGTAAAACCCACCCACCCCACAATGGTTTCGAATCCCGGAAGGTTATTTTACTGTTGCCCACACCATGGCTACTCCCATTGGTGTGAACCATTTGAAGTTGGGCAAACTTTTTCCAACTCAAATCGTGAAGAAAATGAAGCTACAAGTGCGTCGATGAACCAAGTCCATCAAGAAAGTGAAATGAAGAATTGCAATTCTGAAGGTGGAGTAGTTCATAGTTTGATAGTGTTGAATCTAGTAATATTTGCAGTCTACATGCTATGTAAAACCTATGTACTGTTGTTTAATTAGTGAACATAAGAGTACAATGTATAAGCTGGTAAAGTTCGGGTTATTCGTGAATATAGTACGCTTTGTCCACCAAATAAGTACAATGTATAAGCTGGTAAAGTTCGGGTTATTCGTGAATATAGTACGCTTTGTCCACCAAATAAGTACAATGTATAAGCTGGTAAAGTTCGGGTTATTCGTGAATATAGTACGCTTTGTTCACCAAATAAGTACAATGTATAAGCTGGTAAAGCTTGGGTTATTCGTGAATATAGTACGCTTTGTTCATCAACTAAGTACAATGAATACACATGTGAAGTACAAGGGATTCGTGACTATAGTACGATTTGTTCACTGATAAAGTATATGTTTGCCATTTATATAGTATTGTTACAGTCTATATATTATTGTCGGTCCAATGCATCCATATGATCGCATTTTAAGACACAACTCTTCATTTTAAGACTATTAAGAATGAATGGAGACAATGTGGGAGTTGATCAATATCGATTATGGTAACAATTGAAGAAAATATTAGTTTTACACTTGAGCATTGTAGACATGTATGAAATTCAACATATTTATGGGATCTTGTATTCCAAACGCAACAATAATTCTCACCTACCTTAAAATAACCATCTAAAACATAATTTATGCATCTCCAGTACTTATTGATCATTAAAGCGTCAATGAAATTGGTACAATGCAATTCATCAAAAAATATGGTACGCTTTGTTCATCAAGTAAGTACAATGAATACACTTGTGAAGTACAAGTGATTCGTGACTATAGTACGCTTTGTTCACTGATAAAGTATATGTTTGTCATTCATATAGTATTGTTACACTCTATTTATTATTGTCGGGCCAATGCATCCATATGATCGCATTTTAAGACACAACTCTTCAGTTTAAGACTATTAAGAATGAATGGAGACAATGTGGGAGTTGATCAATATCGATTATGGTAACAATTGAAGAAAATATTAGTTTTACACTTGAGCATTGTAGACTTGTATGAATATATTGTATAGTATATGAGTATCATGTATGAAATTCAACATATTTATGGGATCTTGTATTCCAAACGCAACAATAATTCTCACCTACCTTAAAATAACCATCTAAAACATAATTTATGCATCTCCAGTACTTATTGATCATTAAAGCGTCAATGAAATTGGTACAATTCAATTCATCAAAAAATATGGTACGCTTTGTTCATCAAGTAAGTACAATGAATACACTTGTGAAG